TCCTCCAAATCACACCAAAATACTGGATCCACCAGTGCAAAAATCCTTAGGAGACCCATCTAAACTAGTGTACATGTATGTTTCAAGCCAATTTATTAGTACACTAGTACGTGTATCTACCGGTAGCAGGGGCAGATTTACATGGACGGGTATCTAATTTTTTCTGCTGGAAGACGGTCAAAATTGGAGGATGAATCAACAAAGATAATTTGGAAGACTGTTGGTAAATAGCTCTGGATCCGCCCCTGGGTAGAGCATATTTGTGTGGCTTAGAGGTACGAGCACAAGGTACACACCACCCCCCTTCCTTCCCACTTTTTCCACTTTTTTTGTTAAGATACAGTCATGACAAGGGAAGTTCAGCAACATTTTGGATCAGCCAAAAGAGAGAGTTTTTTTCTACAAGTTTTCAAAGAGTGATGTGTGCCTTGATCCTTATGGGCAAGAACTTGAAGCTGTGATATGGACTTTACAGAGGGAATTAAATGCTGGAAGAAAAATTTTGAGCACTCTGTATCAGATGACGCCCCTCAGTGTAGCTATTGAACATTTAATTAAAGCTACTATATTTGTGATGCATGTATTAACATTTTTTTCCGTATGTTGTTTATAGATTGGAAATTTTCTTTGACTTAAACAAAGTAATGAATAATTTACTCCAGATGACCAAGTTTCTTGGGATTTAATCATGTTGTGTATTATACTAACTTTGCCTAAAAGTTTATCTTTGTGATGACCATAGAGTTGACAAGAGTGGATTACAAATTTTACCAGTGTACTTATGACCTGTGTTAAGGATGTGCTGCAATCAAGATATGATTGAGGTGAATGCATCTTGTCAGTAGCATTTGAACCGCTTTTGAAAATTGGTTAATTTTGTAACTTTTTGTGTACATTTTGTGCATCAAAGTTCTAATTATTTGCATAATTCCCATTGTTTATTTTGGACTGATACATCACATATCTGCACTGTTGTAGTCAAGTTTTTAAAACGGAGTGAAATATGTCTGTGAAATTATATATCTGAAATAAATGTTCTGATTGCTTAAAGATATAAACCATTTGTTGTTTCTCTGTGATCGTCTGCTCTAAAAGGATACGGATACTACAAGTTTCTAAAGATGAAAGTCTTCCAAATTTATCTTGATATTTTGGTGATGTATTCATGCCTTCCCTGGATCAATATTCAGACGTGCCTTTACAACACTTGCAGCAGAGAGGACTTTTCACCTGCTTTGAAAATCGGGGGGGGGGGGGGGGGGGGTACCTGTAGATTGAATGCTGAAAACGCATTTACTATTAATAGCTCCTTTACACTGGAAGGCATCCTTTCTGCCTCCCATAGTACAGCCCCGTTTAAGAGTAAAAAAAAAAAACTTTTTGTGCCAACAACTGGGATCATTGAGCATTCATTTTGCAAACAAAGTGATGCTTGAGCTGCCTTTCTATGACCACAATGATGCCACAATGGTCGCACAAGTATGCAGAAAGGATGATGTCTTTTGTAAAGGGGGCTTAACTTAAGTCATCAAAAATGAAAAAAATAGTTAAAATGTAAGACCCAATTGTTGCATTTAACCAGGACGTCTGCTGTATTTAATATTTATTTATTTTTATTTGTCGCTTCGAAGTACGCGTCCCTCGAAGCGCATACTGATACACACATTGAAGTAGCGTGATCCGATCTACACTGAATTCTGGATCCTTCCGTGACGCGTCTGGTAGTTGGGTAGGCCTGGCCCCTGTTTCACAAAGAAACTTAAGTCGGTTTCCCTGACTAAGAGCTTGGTTACCAACGTAATTAAGTCGTTACATCAATAAGAATTATGAAATCCCAAGAGGACCAAATGCCTATGCATTAGCTCAGTCTCTCACCTTTGCTTAGTTTCTCACTTAGGAAGACACTTATGGGGGATCTAGAGGACAGTCCTGCACCTATCGACGAGTAGTAATAAAAAGAAACTTGGCTTAAACAATTATCTTTAGTAAGTAAGGAGTTGTCATACACGCTGTAATTATACCTCCGCCAAGGAGGTTATGTTTTCACCCCTGTTTGTTTGTTACCTCCGCCAAGGAAGTTATATGTTTTCACCCCTGTTTGTTTGTCTGTCATCAACATAACTCAAAAAGTTATGGGTCGATTTTGATGAAATTTTCAGGAACTGTCAGAAGTGGGCCAAGGAACAGATGATTAGTTTTTGGTGGTGATCCGGATCAATAAGCAATCAATAATAAAAAATATCGAAAATTTAAACGGCAACGGGGTGAAACGGCATTGGGTGGAGACTTTGCTGCCTTGTTTAAAATTACATTTATGTTTCTCATTTTCATCCACCCATATGGATGCATAAGCTACAATGAATTAACTATGCCCATATAAAAGGGTGTTCCGATAATTGGCTGGTTTTATTTCATCATAAAATGTAACGACATATGCAGTGTTGAGTGTGTAGTTATGTAATGCCCCTATCATGCAATATTACCTCATAGGCAATTCCGTCGCATAGCCATAAAATTGCTTGTTGATAAAAAGGGTTGCAAGACAGGTTATACAACGGTATGTTCACTGAGACTACACAAACCTGCACAAACAGATAATAGAAATACCGATCAATTTATACACAGAGGCAGCACATAGAGAGGAGTGACTACACATGTCAACCGTACCATCAAGTTGACTATACAACCAGCAACGGTAAGGTAAATAGCAAACTTTTGCGTACCGTTGAATACCTATAATCATTTACGACTGAACTGGCATTCTACGTATTAATATTAAAAAAAAAACATTCAATAGTTACTGTTTCCAATTAATTGCTTATACTACTGGCTTACGATTTTCTGCATTGAGCTCAAAACTTTACACCAAACGAGATAAATGTTACATATTGTTGATAAATCAAAGCTGAATCGATCATCTATTGGGTACACGCACATGTGTAAAAAAGAAAACAATAATGACCCACAATAACTGAATTGGTGACAAGCCTCAAAGCTACTATCTCAATATCCAATAACTTAAAACACTTTTCAAAACAAATTTGCGTGTTTTTCCTTTCGCAAGTGATTTTTTTTTTTTTTTTTTTTTTTTGCTTTGTTTGATCTAAATATTTAGCAGTACTTTGCCTTACAGCTGAAAGGAAATCGGGCAAAAAACTACCTGCATGCAGATTAAATACAGGATGCAGCTACTCAGTCTTATAAAGTTGTACTCCTTTGTGGTTTTGTGCAAGAGGTATATCTAGGTAATAGAATTCTATCCATCTATCTATCTGTCTATAAATCTATCTATTTTTCCATACGCGTTTGCATGTTTGATAAATAAGTTTTTCATTGAATGGTTGATAAAAAAGGCCTGCTACAGGCACCACCGGGTATCTGTGTCCTTCAAAGAGGACATTGGTGCCGCCTGAAATTACGTTCGTTTACCCTGCATACGCTATACCATGGTCCATCCAAATACTGTGCAAAATAATACTCTGGGACCCTGTGGGAGGACGTGCAATCCAACCGTCCGGGATAAGAGAGCTCCTCAAACGGTGGCTCAGCAGTAGATGAGACTTAGACTGGGTTCCCATACCTATCGACCTAACAGGATCGATCCATCTCCAAGGAGTTTCTCGCTAAATTGCTTTCAGCTTAAGCGGCTTAGATGTCTGGCACGCCTACTGAAGCTGCTAAACAATAATTAATTACCCCATAGCAGCTTCAGTAGGCGTGACAGATATTTACGCCGTTTAAGTTGATAGCAATTTAGAAGATAGATCGATCCAAAGTTAGTACGATAGGGTCTGGGAATGGTCCTTAAGACTGGGTTCCCATGCCCAAATCGATCTAACAGGATCGATCAATCTCCATAATAACAAAAATTTTGTTTTGTGTCTAATGCAATGTTTTTATAACTCAGTGGTTTTGCCTCCTCCCGCTGGGTTTTGGCCGCTCACCAAACAATATGAAGCCATGGATATCAGTGGGAACGGTAACAATGGCATAGCGCAAGGAATTGATTTTAATGCAGGTATGTCCTTGTAGTCAACACTTATTGCCCAGTGACACTAATGAAAATTGGAGTTTTTTTACAGTGTTCTACACGTATGTGTTACCCCATCTTGATTTATATTAAGCCCCCGACACACTTATTCGGAATCAGCAGGAATCAAGCAGAACCAGCCGGAATGACTAAATTTAAAAATTCGTACTACATTCGGGAAGAAATCTCAATTTGACCTTGGAATACTCAGAATGCGCTTGAATCCGCCTGGAATGATTCCTGCACATTTAGTCTGTATCAGCTCTCAAATGCAGCTCGAATGTAGTTGGAAAACTAGGAATATCAATAATGCTGTCAGAATGCAGTCAGAATATTTAGAATACACTTCGAATGCCGTCGGCTGTTTCACAATCAGGGTGAACAATTAAATGTGGTTAATGTTACAAGTGTCTGATAAATTTACAATTTATGATTGGAGATTGCTGATAGACTGATATCAAACACACTGTTCATAGGAGCAAAATAAAAAAAGAATTATAATAATCGGACTACAATTTACAAAAATATGGCCACTTATGTGTCCAAAAAGTACCTATTTCTAGCTGTTACGATGGGTCATTTGCAACTTGGGTCATAAATATGATGCACTAGCTCTTTATGTCAATGATTTATGGTGAATATGATATTGGTATATAATTCCCACAACATATGTCTTCTCTTCTAGCAGGTTCTTCCAAAGATATGTTCTGAGTAAAAATTTATTTTAACCATTTTGCTGAAACAGGCTTTTGTACACATTTTACTTATTTTTGTTAATGCAATGAAAAACATATTTGATAAGGACAAATATTACTTTGAAACCACCTTCGTGATTATAAGATGAATTTACCATGTTATGACTTAATCATAAGAAAGGAGTTGTGCATATGTAACCATTATTATTAATGCTATGGTATTTATAATCATGAGCCCCTTGGTGTCTCCTACTTTTTGTAGTGTCCGTACCCCCCTATCTATTTTATTTAGGAATCACAGCATATTCTGTCTGATTTTATTATTCTATAATATCTACACTGACATTTATTTTGCAGGAAGAAAATAGCACATAACCCCTTATTATGAAAAGATATGCACACATTTGGTGCCAAATGTAGTGTCCGTGCTCCTACTGTAGTGTCCGTACCCCCAAGTTATACATTAACCATTGGATAACTGGCTACATATCAATGATGATAAAACTTCAAAATATGATACAAAAGATTGTTTTAGACTATATAAAATGCATACTTGTCTTATGATGTTTAGAAAAAACATTGTATATAAATATATATTCGATAAAGTGATGCTGATTAATTAGAGTCAGGCAAGAGATTTTGCAAAGAAATAATATCAGTAAAGATGCTACTCTTTGCATTCAAAATGAACAATATTGGTTTGAATATATTGCCAAATATAGCTAATTGCAAAATAATAAATTGTTTATGGATTAATATTCTATGGATTAATGTATATGATATATTTTGAGGGGGTACGAACACTTCAATACATGAATAATTAACAGTACATTTATTATACTATTATCAGTAAATGAAGTATCAAATATGGATGACAATAAACAAAAAGCCAAACAGGAAAAAAAGGGATCCTGAATATTTTACTGTCAGCAAAAAATAATTTTGAAAAAAAAGACGTCAAAAGCTAATGTCCGTAAAGATGCTAACAATCTTGCTGAAGCACGTAAGGAAGACGTTAGATGCACGTAACATAGCATAGAAGCAAAAAAAAAAAAAAAAAGAAGAATCATCCTAGGCTGGCCCAGCAAGAAAGACTAAAGTAAAGAGAAGAAATTAGGGCATACTGACATTGAGTTAAGGAGAAGCAGAAACCCAACAATCCTGAAAAAAAGTAGAACAAGAGGTGCAAATTAACGAGAGATGAAAAAGAAGAAAAGACTCCAAAAACAGGAATCAAGACTGAAACAAAAAAAAAAAAAAAAATGAA